GCCTGTAGCTGCCAGGTTTCTGCCTTTTGAGGAAGGGGGGTTGTCTCTCATAGAGTAAATTGTGGCTGAAATGCTTGAAAAAGGCAGCCTTAGCTTAGAGCACTGGTTCTCAACCTGTGCTCGCAAACCCTGGGGGTCCGTGGATCACTCCTAAGGGAACTATGAAGAATTCTGTGAAAGGTAACTTTAAAAAAACCCTGTGTTTATTGTCAGTAGATTAACTCTCTGTGTGAAGGAGCTCGTCCCTCCTGAAAGGCATTTGGGGGCTGCAGAGCATAAAGGTTGAAAACCACTGAGCTGGAGTAATGTATCTTTATAAGTGATAATTTGACAGCTAAAGAGCTAGAGCTATTCAACTGTACCTTTATGAAAAGTGCCTGGAGAATTGAATAGAATGTGATAAACTTTGTGTAGGCATTTTGGAACAGATCTGTGAAACTGAGTAACTGAAGGGACTATAGAAAATACTAATACACAAAACAAAGGGAGAGTCCTTTTCATAAGGCTTCCAGCTGATCATACAGAGTCATACTCCTAATGTAGACTGCAGTTACTTTGTTCTCCTTGAGATTTAACCCTGACAAATGGTATAGAATTAAAGACTAATTTTGGTAGAACAATGTTTCATTTCTAGCACCTGTTTAATAACTTTTTTTGTTGTATGTATATGCTGAATGAGATTTAAGATCTATTTAAATAATTTCCACGGAATGAAGATTCATACAGATAATCTGAACTTTAGGTTTCTCCACCAGGGCAACTTTGAATTCAGGTATCCAAATTTGACAGCCAGGTCCCTTGAAAAGCTTGAGTTTGTGATAGTGGTGCAGACTTTCTCATACGGTGGTTGGTACAAGAAAGTCCTGCAAGTTGTTTATAAACTGTCACTGCATTCACGTAGATGGGGCAAGAGTCACCAAGCAAAGTGATTCCCCTCACAGTTTTACGCATGGTAACTTTATTTAGGAGAAGCGTTATCGGGGGGTTTTCCTCCCGCATTCATTGAGTTCTACTTGATTTTGTCAGTTAGTGTTAGTTCACCTTTATTTGAACTGCTGGGTAATTCATTTGTAGAAGAGGCAGTGCATTTAGGTACTTCCATCTGTATTTAAACAAGGCTCTTGTGCTTTCCCCATTAAAAAAAAAAAAAAAGATTTTGTAGTATAATACTTGTGGTAGTTGAGGTTCTGAATTTAACTCCTTCCTACTCTGGTTTCTCTTAACGACTCTGCCTTATCAGCACCTGGGGTTTCTAGTTTGCTCTCTTTGCAAATATGAATTTGCAAGAATGGGCTGATGGTAAGTGGCGTGGTTCTAATTTGCACTTGCGAAGTGTGTCAGACAGTTTCACCTAATGCACGGCGAGCAGAGGAAAGCCTGTCTTCCTTTGAGAACAGTCCTTAGAGGATGTCAGGGAGCGTGTTTGGCTGTGTGTTAGTCATTTGCAAAGGCAGTGCAGCTTTGAAATGAGCTGTCCAGGAGCTGCTGAAGGAAGGGATGCCTGAACTCCTGTGAATCCTCTCTTCCTGCTTTTCCTTCATCCTTTTTCTCATTGCTTTTATGCCTCTGAACTGTCACTTCGATGTGCTTTCGGATGAGTCTACTTTGTTGCACTAGTAGTTGTTCTGTGGACTCGTTTGGATGAAATGTTTGTGACAGTCATTGCTGGGACTGTACCCAGTGACATAGGTAGTCCTTTCCAGCTTTCTGTTCATTACTCCCTCTCCATCTACCTGGTATCCTTATAGCCTCATCAGTCTCTTCTATCCTGGCACCTAACAGACAGCTGTTGAAATCGCTCTTCCTTGTGGGGTCTGAGTGCCATTTTCTCATTCTTCTGCATGTGCTTTGTCCATAGCTTATGTGCATTTGTAGTGTCTTTTCTTAATCAATTTACAATCTAGAAGTGTAAGCGTGGGATGATATTTGAGTCCATACAGAAGGCTGGACTGTGGCCACCCTTGTCTCCCAAGCAAAAGAGCAGAGGTTTATGGTGATACCTCACCTGTGCCCTTATTCAAGACTTACAGCCAGTGTTACTCTTTGTGTCCCCCTAGATCGTTAGTGTTCCAGAGGTGTTGAGTTCTACACCACATTAACTAGCATTGCACCCTCCTCCTCCCCCTCAAGCCAGGCTTTCATTACAAACTTGCCCAGCACCCTCAGAGGAATTCAGAATGAGTCAGTCATGGTGCCTCTGGGGACTCCTACTGATGCAAACTTCCTCCTCCTCAAGGCTGACTGCGGTTTGAATGCCACAATGCAGCCGGTGCTTTTGAGCTCCAACCTTTGCCATGATGTGGTTGGCAGTGCTGGGTCTCTGGCCCAAGGACCACCTTGGTGCCTTCTATCATTTGGGCTCCTGTGCAAGATGGGAGACTCAGCACATCTTGTTGGTGTGGGGTGTGGAAGTTGCTCAGATCCTCTCAGAGTACTGTTCAATAGGCATCAAAGGTTATTTTGGAGGAAGGGGTTATCACTCCTAAGGTGTGTTCCAGTTCTGTCAGGAGACTGACACCAACACGTTTTTTATCTGGATGCTAATAATGCAAGAATGAAATCCACCAGTTCTTGGTGGAACAGACTTCTATAGTGAGAGTTTTACTGGGAATCTGTCATAATCTGCTTTCAGAGTCTGCATTCAGAAACATAAGATGTGATAAACAGAGCTGAATTACGTTTTGTTTCGGGCTTTCCTGTTCCCCACTGATGTGCCCTTGTCATTAAAACATTATCTACCTTCTCCCTGTTCACACTGGAGGAAAAAAAAAAGCTCTTCTGGTGGTAATTACACTGTGCTGCATTGTGGACCTTTCATCCCATTACAGTAAGTGGACAAACTACTGTCATTTACAAGAATGAACTAGGTGAGGAAATGGGAAAGTTTCTAGCACTGCTGGACTAAATGCCAAGCTGACATGAGGGAATAATTGCTTCAAGAAGTAAGTTTTCTTGCTAGCACTGAGCATTGGTGCAGTTGTGTTCTGAAGAGGTAGACGGATGCCTGCTCCACACCAGGTGTTTCAGGAACAGAAGAATTGGGCAATACTAATGAAGGGCTACAGACCCTTAACTTGCCTATGCCCTTGCAGTTAAGCCTAGATACACTTCAGCTCTTCATTCTTCTCAGTTTCAAAATCTCTTCTATCTATTGCCTTGTCATGGATCTGTTTGTGAAGTCAGGGTTTGACTACATTAAGATTTTTTTTCTCTAGCAGAACTATGCTGCCTGTTTTTCCCCACCTCTGCATGCATACCTTTTACATCTCTAAAACAAGCTTGATGCTCTTATTTGCCTGTTGTTTTGTTCATTCTTTGTGGGAGGTTTGCCCTGAAGGTGTGATTGCAGGAGTAAGTTCTTCACCAGCGCATCAGCAAAAACATCTTTGCACCTGTCACCAGGGAAGAGCTACCAGTTGTGTAGCAGAGCTTCCTTATTACTTGATAAATATTTTTGTGGGCTGTGGAGGAGAAGCTGAGTGGTTTGCTCTTATCTCCCTTCACGTGTGGTGGCTGCCACCTGGGTGGTGATTTGGTAACCTGGGAGGCTCAGTCTGTTGGGTGTTTGAAGGTCCTCTCCAGCCACTGGCCTGAGCTGGTTTGGCAGCAATTTCTTGCCGCCACCTGCTGACCAGGCAGAGGATTTCTCTGATGCCCCTGCTGAGCCCCCACCACTCAGTTCCCTGCCTAGCAGGTCCAGCAAGAGGGAGATGAGGCAGAGTTTGCAGACCAGAGTGTCTGCATAGAGCAAGAATACCTTGGGACAGATATAGGAACTGATCATTTAAGGAAAAGAGATGTGTGCTTTAGTTTGAGCACTGCCATGGGCATGAGATGAGCTCGTCTGATTTAGGGCTCCCTTGAACTTGCAGGTTACTGAGAGGATTGGGTGAGATTGAGTCCACTGCAGAAAGCTTACATAAGATATAACCATCATGCTAAATGCAACAGCAAAGGAATTCCATCAGACTGTTCATGTTGCTTTTAATTCTTAAGTGTATGGGAAGAGATGGAACTCGAGGACCCTTTTAAGGATACAACAAAATAAAGGGAGGCCAGATATTTTACCAAATCCCAAAGTCTAGGAGTAGAATTTTGTTCTTCTTTGATTTAGTGAAAAGATTTAATGATGATCTTCAGAAACTATTTCATATTGTTAACTCTTAAACAAAGCTGTATTTTCACACCAGTATTTTTGGATATGGGGCTGAACAACAAAGTTGAGTGAGAAAAACAAACAAGTACATTAGACAGGAAGACGTAAGATACTTATTCAGCTACATCTTCATTTAGTTGCCAAGTCCCAAGATGTGGCAGTGCTTGCTGTGAGGCCTGGATGCTGGTGCAGGGTTACACAGAATCAGATTTCTGAAGCCCTTGGGAATCTTAACCTGCTTTCTGCCCTTCCATGTGCCACGTGTAACATTTTGCTGGGGTCACTTGAGACTTTCAGGGCTTGAGAGCAGTGCCAGGGACACTTCTGTGTTACGCTTCTCTCCAAGCAGAGGTTTCAGGCCATCCTGTTTTGCTGTCCTATGCTGTCAGAAGCAGCCATGTATCAGTGGCTGTACCCTCTGGAGAATTGCATGTCTCCATAGAGACTTAAATCGCATTTTTCTTCTTCTTGAGTGCTCTCATTTCCACACAAACACGTATTTAGCCATGCTAAATATTCTCCTGCAACATTCTCCTTTTTCCTCCTACATTTATTGCTTTTGAGTTTGTTTGTTCTGAGGTGCAGGAAGAAACCCCAAGGAGAGACGCCGCGCTGGCTGGCAGTTCTGCTCGACTGCAGCAGCGCTGTCCCTGTTCTGTCAGAGCAGGAAAAGGTTGTTATTACCATTTTATAATGCATAGTTTAAGGTGCATTCCTGCTTCCCTAAGCAGCTTGAGTTGCTGTGCAGATGTTACTGTAAGACCCTGTTCCCTCTTAACCCTTCTTTAGAACCAAAGCTGAATGAACCATCCTGCTGACACTGCGGCTCTTTGTTCACCCTTAGGGCTCCGGGACCTCCAGCTCCGCTGCCACCACTCCGTCTGTGTCCACCCCCGTCACCGGCCACAAGCGGATGATCATTCCCAACCAACCTCCCCTCACCGCCACCAAGAAGTCCACTGCCAAGGGGCCTGGCCAGCCGGCACCCATCCCAGTCACGCCCATCGGCACCCTGAAGCCTCAGCCGGTTCCGGCCTCCTACACCACAGCCTCCACACCCAGCCGCCCGACCTTCAACGTCCAGGTGAGGACGGCGCAGCCCAGCCCTCACTACCAGCCGCCTGGCCCGCAGCCCACGCACTATGGCAGCCTGGGGCCCGGCCAGCCCTATGCAGCCCCACCGGCCCGCCCGCCTGGTGCCCAGCAGTATGGCTCACCACAGCACCGTGGGCCCGACTACGGTTATGCCCCACCGCCTGCCCGTCCTTCAGAGCCCAGCTATGGCTATGCACCTCAGCAAAGCCGCTACCAGGACCCGTATTACGGTGGATATGGAGGGAGGAATGGCTCTGAAGCACCCTACGTGCCACAGAGCTCCTGGAAGGTTGAGCCAGCATATCCTAGTGGTAACACCGTGGGCCAGGCTCCTTCTGGGCTGTACCAGCCTCCTGGCACAAAGAAGACCTACATCACGGACCCAGTGCTGGCCCCGCAGCCGCTGCAGCAAAAGGTAGGAGATGTCAGCGCTTGTTGGTCACACTTACACAGAGAGATTGGTGCGGTGCTGGCACAGGCTGTCCAGGGAAGTTGTGGATGCCCCATCCCTGGAGGAGCTCAAAGCTAGGCTGGATGGGACCATGGGCAGCCTGAGCTGGTTCTTGATCTAGCAGTTGGTGACTCTGACCACAGCATGGAGTTGAAACTTGATGATCTTTGAGGTTTCTTCCAACCCTAGCCATTCTGTGATTCCTGGGGGGAATGCAAGAGCCTTCTTCAAAGGCAACACATGGGATTAGATGGCACTGCGTGGATCCCAAGCAGCTACAGCTTTTTTTCCAGTAGGGTCAGGGCTGAGGGCACATGAGCAGCGGGGTCACTGCGACTCATGTCTTCTGCCCCATGTCTCCATGCCTACATCGGGAGGCTGGCCAAGGTTTTCAGACCTTGCTGGTTGGCTCTTTCACTGCTTGCTGTGGAAATCTGTGGGATGATAGGTGCGTAAGCCACACCTTTGTTTGACAAAGGGAAGCAAATGGAGAAGATTACAGAAAGAAGCCTCCCTCCATGTGGCTTTCGGAAACAGGGAGCTCTCTTGTGTCTTGGAAATAAGCTTTTGGGGGCTTACAACTTACGTCAGCCTCAGAGGGTAAGGCAGCAGTGTTGGTGTTATTGCAGGAGCTCACCCTGCGGGGTGGGAGCAGCTCCATCCCTGCAACATGCCCTCACATGATACAATCGTCAGCAATATGTCTGTGTGCGCTTGGGTCTTTCCTTCAGGGCTCTCCCAGGATCAAATGGGAGTCAACGTTTCCTCTGAGTGCTCATGGGCATCTTTGGCTCACTGGAGAATTTGTTCATCTTATGTAGATAGGAGATACAGAAGGCATTGTTTTTGGTTGTGGTTCAGAGCAATTCCGGAGGTTGACCTCTTGTGCGTCACTGTTTAAAAATCACTTATCACTGAAAAACCACATGGAAATGAGTTCTCACACAGTGCTGTGGGTGCTCTGATTTCCCTCTCAGGTGGCAGCAAGGCAAGTGGCATCCAATCACTTCAATGTGTGTTTGGGCCTTATAAACCAAAGGAGATACCAAACAAAGTTAAATTGCTTGGCTTCTCTGCCCAGATGTCAGCATGGGCTGGCCCATGTCGCTTTGGGTGGTCACCTCAAATGTGGCTCAGGGGGCTTGTAGGGCCTCAGCTTTGTGTGATCCTTCTGAATGATGGGGTTTGGCTGCACCTGAGGGCCAAGACACCAAGCCCACGTGGGGAGGTGGTGAACACAGTGCTGGCCAGGGCAGGATAATAAATGAAAACTCCTTGAAATACTGTCTATGAGTTTTTCCCCTTTCCTTACCAAGAAGTGAGGAGAAAAGCAATAAAGTCAACTCTGCAGGTGCCTGGTACAGAGCTTAGATTGAAAACTAGTGAGAGGTATGAAATTTGCACGTAGCCTTAACTGGTGTAAATTGGTGTGCTTCCAGTGGAGTCACTGGAGAAATGCTGAGCTATAGCAGATATGTATTTAGACTTGTGTAGATACAAATAGGCTTATACATATAAAAAATTAAAAACTTTAGTTCAGTTGGCATCTCTATGGAAACGCAAATCATCTTGAACCACAAACAGCACAAGTCTCATTTGCATTACAAAGCTGGAGGGACAATTTAATTTAGTTCAAGTTTGGGGTTTCGTGTACACATAGATAGATATATATTTACATGTTTGCGTGCACGTGACATTTGCAAATACACATATAAAATTGTAAGTGCATATCTCTATAAAAATAACTGAAGTATTTCTGCAAAACAGACTATGATCTGCTTGGTGATAAATTTCTCCAGAACTTAGTTCTCTTCTAACCTCCTGAAATCAGCATTACTGCCTGTTTCACCTTTGAACTTACAATGGTTCTCTAATATGGTGGTGCAAATTTTTTGATTGCTGCTTTGTAAAATGCACAGTTTAATTGGTGAAGAATTGAAGATCTTGCAGTCTGGTAGGACATGCTCAGCAATAAAGCAGTGTGGACTTTGCCAGTGAAGCTGTATTGTCCGGTTTTACTGAGTGTTCTTCTCTTCCTTTGCAGTCTCATTCATAAAATCAACTTTTGGACTTACTTAAAAGGAAGAAAAAATGGAAGGCTTTGTTAGTTCTGATAGGGAGAATAATTGCTATAAATCTACTTGTTGGCTACAGCACAACAGAAATCAGAATCGGTTTTCTACATGAAAATATGCTGTGTTCTGCCTTTTCAGGGTTGGTTTGAGGTCTCTCAGTTAAGGAGAATGAACTGAGAAGCCAGAATGATTTAAAAAGCAGGTGTTATTGTTTAAAATACAAGAGTACCTTTTAGATATTTTTCCTCTTGCAATGGAGTCATCTTAAAATACTGAATTGTTTCCAAATGTATTCAGAAAAATGCGGTCTTAATTTTGAACACATTTTGTGCAGAAAATATTAAAGAAATCTTAACAAATCCATCTCAGGTTAGAAATTCTTGAGCCTTAATTCTAACATCAATCATGAACCTGTCACTGAGTAGGATTTTTTTCATTCAATTCATTTAGGATTTGTAATGATCAAAAAACACCCTGATTTATATTTTGCATTCTGTCTAGAAAAAGATCAACAATACTGTGGCTCTGTGCTGGCTACTGTGCACTAATTATGTTGATGTCCCTGCTGATCCCAAATGAATCTGGACTGGTATGGGAACAGCAAATAATCTCTATGGGTTCTTAAGGCCCACTGAGAACAATGTGCTTTAGTCACAGACATCTCTGGTGCATTCTGTCCTTGGGCCACTTTTGGGAGTGAGAGTTGTGCATGTGAAACCTCTCTGCATTTAGTTCTTTGTTGCATTGCACTTAGCATTAATGCCCAAGTTCTATTTAGGAAATGAACAAGTGAAGTGCATGTCCTCATTCAAACCTTCATACACTTTGAAGGCCTTCCTGGCCAGAAATCTCAGTAGATTTCTTGGTTGCTGATAGTGATCTGTGAATGGTACGAGAGTTGTTACAAAGCCATCACAGAAACTTGTGATACAGTGGGTTGGTTTCATGCTGTTTGCAGTGGTACTGTGTCCTTTCAGACTGAAGTGTGAAGGCTCTTTCTTAACATCTCAGCTGGCAGAAGTCAGCAAGCAGTAGACCAGAGTGACTCATTAGGTATAATGATTTTTGGCACAAAGATGCCCACAGCTGGGGGATAAAAATGGCAAAGCTATGGACAGAGGATTTTTGCAGGTTTGCCTAGTGGCCAAAACAGTTGAAGAAGCTCCTGCCATCAACCAATGCATCTGGCCAAGTCACCAAATACCCTTCATATCTTCGAATAACTCTAGGTCCTTTCACTGGTTTTGGTTATCATAGAATTGTTAAGATTGGAAAAGACCTCTAAGATCATCTAGTCCAACTGTCCACATACCATCATCACTATTTCCCATTAAACCGCATCCCTCAGTGCCACATCTCCACAGTTCTTGGACGGTGACTCCACCGCCTCCCTGGGCAGCCTGAGCCCAATGCCCATCCACTCTTCTGGGAAGAAGCTTTTCCCATTATCCAACCTGAATGTTATGTTGGAGTGTTTCTGAGATACTACTGCATATCTTTGTGGACCAGGAGAAAGCACTCTATGGGTGCTGAATTCATTAGCATCCACTGCAGCTTACATTCTAGCTCATTCATGTGAGTCTATGAAGGCTCAGTCCCTTGTAACCCTACCCTTTGCTATTTTTGTCTAGTAACATCTCAGACAGAGTGATTGGCTTTGGTGGATATTTTTGTACTTGAAAGTGCTTTTTTCTGCATTCAGACTTTGATATTTATGATTTTAATGGGAAGTGGAAAAATTCTCAATGTTTGATGGACCTCCCTAGTGTATTTCCTGGTGCATTTGAGGAGTGGCCACTGCAGACATTCAGGAGGTCTGACCTTCTTAGATCTTGGATCCCATGAATTCTCATTCCTATTTCTGAATCTACTAATTGTCCTGAGGAACCATGTTCCCTCCCAAAGGGACTAATGCATTAGTAGTGCATGAGGAGCAGGACAGCTGCTTCAAATGGCCTTTCAGCCCTGTGCAGGATTTTCAGTGAGCACTATGGAAATTAAAAGGAGAAACTATGGTGGGGGGGGAGGTAAGGCTAATGATGCAGCTTACGGTTTTGGCATGGCTTAGGTGATGGTGGTCACCTGTGATTAGCAGACCTTGACCACCTCATCCTTTCTGTGCTGCTGGAGGTGGTGTTTCTTTGCTGCCTACTGCAACCAGCATTAACAGGTCTCATGAAACTTGCAATACCCAAAAGAGGGCTGTGACGGCTCGCTGTTTTCTCATTTTACACAGCTTTTGTCAGTTTTTCCACTGATTTAATACCTGTGATGGAGACATTTGCTTGGAAGTTTCATCTTTGCCTCAGAAACATCTGCTCAACAGTGTCCTTTGCTATGACTGATGCACTCCTCTTGCACTGGTTTAATAATTTTTGCGTCTGCCATCACTCACATAAAGTAATACCTCCAGCTCTTGTGTTTGAACTGAGACTAATGCTCTTGCTGTTTGCTGTTAATCTAGTGGCTAGGAATTTTTTGTTCTCTGCAGATGAGTAAATGCAATCTGCCAGATATCCTCCTGCTGTCACAGGATATAGCCTTTCTTAGCTTAGCTTTTTGCTTGTGCACAAAGGCAGGCGGCTTAGTGTTTGCCATCTCCCTCCCCCCAAGTATTTTCTCCCTCAAAATCTCATCTCTGCGCCCAAGGCTTTCCACTGGATAGGATTCAGGGGACAGTGTGAAATGATGGTTCAAGCTGGTTTTCTGTCAATGCAAGCCAGTAATTGCCCATAGTTTTACAATGTTAAAACAAAACCATATCAAATTAAAAAGTTATTTAAAATGTTGCAGTCTGGTACTGAATACATTAAAAAAAAGACAGAATGATAATGTAAAGTGAAATAAAAGGTGAAATTCCAAAATTCAGGATTGAATTTGCGATTTCAA